CAGTCTCAGCAGCAGCAGTCTCAGCAAAAGCAGAAACAGTCTCTGCAGTAACAACATCAGTGAACTCAGCAGAAGAGTCTCAGCAGCCACAGTCTCCCCAGTAGCAGTCTCAGTAGCAGTAGCAATCTCAGTAGTAGCAGTCCCGGCAACAGCAGTCTCAGCAGAAGCAGTTGCAGTAGTCTCAACAGCAGCAGCAGTCTCAGCAACAGTAGCAGTCTGGGTAGCAACAGCAGCAATAGCCTTTACAGCAGCAGTCTCAGCAGTCGCAATCTCTCCAGTAGCAGTCTCAGTAGCAGTAGCAATCTCAACAGTAGCAGTATAAGTAGTAGCAGTAGAAGTAGTAGAAGTAGAAGTAGTAGCAGTATAAGTAGTAGCAGTCTCAGCAGCAGCAGTCGCAGCAAAAGTAGAAATAGTCAATGAAGCAACAGCAGCAGCTGTCACAGCAGTAGTAGCTGTCTCAGCAGCAGCAGCAGTCTCAGAAGCAGCAGTCTCTCCAGTAGCAGTCTCAGTATTAGCAGTCTCAGCAATAGCAGTCCCGGCAGCTGCAACAGTCTCAACAGCGGCAGCAGTCTCAGCAACAGTAGCAGTATCAGCATCAGTAGAAGCAGCAGCAACAGTCTCTGCAGCAACAGTCTCAGCTGCAGCAGTTTCAGCAGAAGCAGCTGTCTCAAAAATAGGAGTCTCAACAGCAGTTGCAGTAAAAAAAAAATAGGAGTCCCTCAGCAGTTGAAGACTCTCCAGTAGCAGTATCAGTATCAGTAGCAATCACAGTAGTCTTAGCTGCAGCAGTCTCAGCAGCAGAAACTGTCTCTACAGGGGTCTCAGCAGCAGCAGCAGCTGTCAGCAGCGGCAGCAGTCACAGCATTCTTGGCAGCAGCAGTGCTAGCAGTCTCAGTGGAAGCAGTAGCAGTAACAGTTTCTGCAGCAACAACAGCAGTGGTCACAGCCGTAGCAGCAGTATCGGTAGCAGCAGCAGTCTCAGCAGCAGCAGCTGTTTTTGCAGTAGCAACAGCGACACTAGACGTTTCTGCAGTCTGAGTCTCAGCCGCAACAATCTCAGCAGCAACAGTCTCTGCAGCAACAGCAGTCTCAGCAGCAGTTTCAGCAGCAGCTATCAGCAGCAGCATGAAAAGACTCTGAAGCACCAGCAGCAGCAGCGGTTTCAACAGTAGCTCTCTGCAGCAGCGGTCTCACTAGCAGACTCAGAAGCAGCGCTTTCACCAGCTGCAGCTCTCAACAGCAGCAGCTCTCAGCAGTAGCAACAACAGTCTGTGAGGCAACAGCAGCAGCGATCTGAACAGCAGCGATCTGAACAGCAGCTCTCGGCAGCAGACTGAGAAACAGCGGTCTCAGCAGCGGCAGCGGCAGCAGCTCTCAACAGCAGCAACAACAGTTTCTGAAGCAACAGCAGCAGCGATCCCAACAGCAGCTCTCAGCAGCAGATTCAGAAGCAGCGGTCTCAACAGCAGCATCTCTCGGCAACAGCAGCAGTCCCAGCAGTAGCATTCTAAGCAGCAGTACTCAGTAGCAGGAGCAGCGGTCGCAGCACTATCACTCTCTGCCACAGCCTTCTCAGATCTACACCAGTAGCAGCTGTCTCAACAACATCAACTGCTGCTGTCTCAGCAGTAGTATCAGTATCAGCAACAACAGCAGCAGTCTCTGCAGCAGCAGCAGCAGTCTTAGCAGTAAGCTGATCAGGTTTTAAGACACCAATTTCTCAAGATTAAAACGTTGGTTCGGGAATTTGGTGATTGTAGGTTCAGTTCCTGGGCCCGGTCGTGGAAACTTATAGCCAACGGAAACAACAACTGAACAGTACTAAATAAACAACAAGACGAGTTATCCGTAAACATGGACATCTACCCCAACATTAAATAAAGGGTTCGATAGATTCCTGAAGAAGACCAGTGAGTACAACCTTTGAAACGTTGTAATAATAATAACAAAGGTGAGGATATTTAGTTCAAATGTAAATAATGTAACTCCTCAGACATTTTGAAAATATACAAAGCTAAGTCAAACATTATCCGCCCTTTCGCCATTTTTTAGGTTTGACACACTGCTTTCTGCGCATGCGTGCTTATCGTTGGTACTATTGTGATCACGTGACAGAAGTTTGAGCTTGATCGCGCCGTTTTTTTGTTGCTGTTGTTACAGTGTAAACATGGCTGTACGGCTAACCGTGTGCGCAAGGGAGCAGCGATTCGATTTCACAAGTCGGAAGTTGTGTCAAGGGCTGAAAATCGTTGGGGTCTTTTAACACAATATGGCGGCAGTGCCCCACAGCGTAAAAGTGTGTATGAATGCACCGAGAAGTTTAAAAGTGACCGGACAAGCGTGACGCACGAAAAAGGAACAGCTTCCTTCCTCCCCCCACTCATCTCCGTTACCCCCCACCAACAACTGACGAAAGAATTCAGCAAGCTCAAGAGATAGTAATGGCGAATCGGCGTGTTATCATCGATCAGGTAGCATGTTCTCAGCAGATTCAGATCACTGCTCTTTGTTCTTCCTTTTGTGCACACTGCTAGCAGAGCGGCCATGTTTACACTGTAACAGCAGCAAGATAAACTGGCGAGATCAACCTCAAACTTCTATCACGTGATCACAAGAATACCAACGATAAGCCTGGATGAACAAAAGGCAGTGTGACAAACCTAAAGATATGTTATGGCGAAAGGATAGATAATGTTTGACTTACCCTCGTAATTTCAGTACAGTATATATTTTCATAGTCATTAAAATGACCAGCGGTACATTTTTGTAAGAAAAAATATGACCAGAAATATATATTTTTGTAAAAGAAATTATTAATGCGCCCAAGAAAATTAAATTTCAGTGTTAAATGGCCCAAATGGGTTGATATGCCGTGAAACAAAACAAATTGAACCATATCCCTGCTCATGCGTGCTTATAGTTGGTACTGCTGCCGTCACGTGATCGAAGTTGGACCTTGACCGCACCAGTTTTCGTGCTGGGGTTAGAGCGTAAACATGGCCGCAGTCTGCAGCAAGAAGTTACAAAAAGCCGCGACCGGATTTCTCTGGTCTGAAGTTGTATCAGCGGTTGAATTTCCTCGGAGATACGGCGATAGTATAGCGTCGAAGCGTGCTTGAGTGGATCGAGAAGGTTTAAAAGTGGACGCACGAAGGAGGAGGAAGACGCCCGCCAGCCTCCATCACTGATGAGAAAATTCAGCAAGGCTCGAGCGAGTTATCGTCGATGAGGTAACACGCTCCCTGCCGATTCAGATCACCGCACTTTGTACCCCCCTTGGTGAACACTGCTAGCGGAACGGTCATGTTTACACTGTAACGGCAGAAAGAAAACTTGCGCGGTCAACCTCAAACTTCTCTCACGTGAACACAAGAGTATCAATGATAAGCACGCATGCGCAGAAGGCAGTGTGACAAACTTAAAGATATGTTATGGTGAAAGTTTGGATAATTGTTGACTTACCCTCGTATCTAAATTTACAACTCTTGTCGGAATTAAGTTCTCTGAATTTTTTTTATTATTTTTAATAATTGATAGAACAATAAATAAATTTTCAAGGGGTCATTTTTATGGGAAGATCGGGCACTTCGACGTGGTGTAAGGTTGTCTCGAAACGTGAATTCGATCCTCACTGGGTGGCCCAAAACTTTCTGTGTTATTCGACATCTGAGCTACGCTTAGAAAATTACCATTTGTATGGGAAGATTTTCCTGTCTTTGTAACTTAAAAATGGCGGTGTTTTTTTTATATTTTTATTTTCTGTTAAGCTTGGAAAGTAATTATGCATTCTTATTGTTCAAAGCAGAGTCTCATAGTACTATAAAAACATCGGAGAATTCCAGTAATATATCTTTAATCATTTCTAAGGTACAACGGTTCAGATGTTAATCGAACAATTGGACAATTTTGCTGTTACAGCCATCATATATATATATATATATATATATACAAAGAATAATCACACATAGAATTAATCAGAAGTATCAATGCGATTATTGGCGACATCCATCGCTAGAAAACATAATATATGCATTAAAATCCTGTTCATCCATAGTGCGAGTTTTGATCCTTGAAGAAAAACTTGTTGTCTGTAGTTTTTCAGTTTATTTGATGTTAAAATGCTAGTACTTACGGACAGTCTTCCATCCATCATCAGGCATGTGTTTTTTTTTCCTATAAAATCAAAAACTTGAGACGATATACCTGTATGTCGACCGAAAGATGTTTTTTGAATATCTGCTATTATTGACGGTTGTAAGATATCGGAACGTGCAAAGACGCAACGCTAAGTTTTTCAAAATTTTTTAAGTGAGAATTTTATTTAAATATTTCTTGTGATGTGTTAAATCCACGTATTCTATTTTTACAAGTGTATTCAGTTTTTATGTCATGAACTAAGTATATAGTTCAATAATATAGTGTAATGTCATAGTAGTAATTTTTTTATAGGAATTTTTTTATGTACTGCGGATCGATAGTTTTTAATAAACATAAAACATTCGGCAGCATATGATTTACATACAAAGAATATTTATGTTTATATATATATATATATATATATATAATAACTGAATCAATAAGCTGGCAGATCCTCATACGTCGAAACCGACGGGAGAGTCCATTATTATTATTATTATTATATATTATGAATTGGACAAAGTCCGACAATTATTTTACAAGATATTTTTTATGTTTATACGTTCTTTTTTATAGATATAAGTATTTAAGTAAATACTCTGTTTATAATAAACAGTATTAATATTTACCGGTCTGAATGTCCGAGAAATGTTCATAGAAAATATGCGTCCTCCGTCAGGAATCGAACCTGTATCATATAGCCTGACGTGCTTTTACCGATTTCGCCACAGAGGAGCGTTTCGGTTAGCAAGGTCGATTTTACTGTTTTTGGAGAATTGTAGTTTAAAAACGGTAAAATGTAAATCGTACAACAGTCCTACGCGAAATGAAAAAGAATTGGGAAGATTTCAGTAGTTGGTAAAATGGCTCCAGCACGACCTGTGGGCAGAGAATCGCCAAAAAGGGGGTCAATTATTGCAGGTGATTGCTTACACGACAACCTCAAGGGCTCTTTTTGTACAGGCTTGTCACTGGTGATGAGAAATGGACTCTTTGCCATAATGTTTAAGCGCCGTCGTCAGTGGATCAGACGAGGAAAAAGACGTGCTCAGCGACCGAGAGGATATTCAAAGATGCCCATGTATGGCGATTTGCTAAGCGTAGCTTAG